CGTTGAGTGTCATAGAGTAAGAAAGCGGAGAAAAGAATCAGTCCTCCGTAGATGACAACAGAGGCGAAACCNTGGAAAATAGTTAGATGTGCAGGTTATCTATGACTCTTATGGGGTTATTCATGTAGCGAAAATATGTATTGAAATGCATTTCCGCGCCCTCGAAATTCAATGCATGAGCGTTGAACTTTGTGCAGGATGGGGAAAATCTTTAAAGGCGCATCCCTTTTTCCAGAAAAAATATCTCGCCACGCGATGTATTGAAATGCATTTACAGTTATGTCGCGAAATGCTTTGAAATACATTTCGCGACGCTCATGCATTGAATTTCGAGGGCGCGGAAATGCATTTCAATACGTATTTTCGCTACATGAATAACCCCATAATGTAGCGAAAGTGTGCATTTCAAAACGACACTATTGAAGATCGTTACGGTACACATTTTCGCTTCATAAATCTATCAAAACTTTTTTCTGATTGTGACTGTTTATGTATTTTTTCATGTTTGTAATTTGTAATTTTTTCCAATAAATCTGAAGATTCCTGTTGTAAATTTAGACGACGTTCAGCTTCATTTGGGCATTAGAAAATGCTTTTAAATGAACAAAAAACGAAAATGTGCAAGAAAAAAATGAAGAAAGCTGAAAAAATTCTAGTTTTGATCTCCAATTCCACCGCCGATGTTCAAAATTGACTTTTTCTCGGCGCCAAAATTGTGTTTTTCCGAGTCATTCTTTGCTCGTTCTTGTATTCTTTTCTTGCAAAGCTTTGCGGTTTTTGTCTTCTTCACAATTTCCAGTTTCTGTCCGAATCTATACAAGCGCTGCGTCAAGGGAGTTTCCGATGCAAGCGCGTTTTGTCTGTAAACTTTCAGAATTCAAATTTCCCAGCAGCACCAAGTTTTCTTTTTTTTGTCATTTGTCTTTCGAATAAATAGCTAATTTCCCAGGGGTTTTCAGAACGTATTTAGTTCGGAATTTTTCTTTTGCGCTACAGTGTGTCAAAGGCGCAAAACGAAAAGTTCTCTTCCGGGTCTCGAGCGGAATAACTGTTTGTTCCGTTCAGGGGTGGGCGAGGAAGGGAGAAAAACCTTCACGTTTTGCAAATTTTCCGCCCTTGTTTTGCAAAACGAGATTAAATGCGCACGCAATTTCGCCGGCGGGTCTCGACACGTAAAAAATAAATTTTTAATTTTTAAAGCGATTTTTAATAAAATTGTTCAAAATTCAAAATTTATTTTCCACGCCATTTTTTACGTGTCCAGACACATCGGCAAAATTGCGTGCGCCTTTAATCTCGTTTTGCGCGTGTTTTGCAATTCGTTTCCGACGAAAGCTGATTGCTCGCCCAGCCCTGGTTCTGTTTTTAAAAATTTTCTGTCGATTTTTTTATCAAATTTTATGCGCTTTTTTGATATGAATGTGGGATTTCTGCTTCAAAATGTTGAAAATCGCAATTTTCGTCATTCTGAACATCCCTGTGACTTCCTTTTACTTAAATTTTCGCTCTCATTTTCCCGATTTTTCTCACAAAAAAATCAATTTTCAGACCACAAATGACCGGAAGCGAGTCCCGTAACAACGATTCGACCATGTCGTTCAAGAAGGAAAACCGCGAAGCAGCCGACACCCTCAACCTTCTCAACCAAACCCTCCCATCAGTTTCCGTGCCTCCAGGCCTCTCCGATATAGAAAAATCGTTCGCGCGCGATTTCCAACCGTTCGTACAACAGGATCAGATGCTGAAGACGTTGGTGTCACAGGCGGCTCGCAATGCTCTCGCCAGTCAGGATCCGTGCACAATTCCTGACGATCTTCGAGAAGAGTTGATGCGACAGAAGAGAAAGGACGACGCGTTCAAGACGGCGCTCTGTGATTCCTACAAACGCAGTCAGACGTGCTCGTATGGAGAACAGTGCAGATTTGCGCATGGAGTACACGAGCTCCGACTCCCACAAAACGTAAGTTCGTTTTTGAAGGATGATGTTTGAATCCGTGCATGTGTGCGTCAACAGGCCAGAGAGTGTTTGCGTACGCATCATTTTATTTTACGACAAATTTTTTGATTTTCTGAATCACGTACGCAAACACTCTGGCATTTGAACGTGCAAATGCACGAATTCGGTCGGCGATCGCCGATTTCCGACCGACCGATATCGACTTCTCTTTCAGCCACGTGGCCGCAATCACCCAAAGTACAAGACTGTCCTTTGCGATAAGTTCTCGACCACCGGAAACTGCAAGTACGGAACCAGATGTCAGTTCATTCACAAAATAGTCAACCCGACGTTGCTGGCACAAGAAAGCGGAATCCTGAACAACACCGCTGTCAATAATTCCTCCTGCATTTCTTCTTCCAACGCCTTCAACCAGTCGCTGTTCATGCCAGCGATGTCTGCCGATCTCAGCATGGATCTCAGCATGGATCTCAACCAGAGTCTTCCGATCCGTCGAGCAGATTTGGCTCGCGCGTTCGCTCGTGCCAACCAATTAGACTCTACCGACGACAGTGTTACACGAATGGCACGCATCTTTGGAAACCAGTTTCATCGGGATCTAACGTTCGCGGGACTTCGGAACTAAGGGGTTGTCCCTGTCATTTATGCTTCTTAATCTCCTATCAACATTCTATGTTTTTTTTGTGTATGGATTGTTTAATCAGGACACTTCCCCACCAATAATTTTTTCGTTTTTTGTCGACTCATTTGAATTCACAGAAGCTCGCCTCTGCTCAAATTCCCCACACATCCCTCACAATGTATCTAGTCTGTATATTATTGTTATCTTTGAATCTTACCCCCAGTGTTGCTTTTGTTCATTTTGTACGCTCTAAATGAAACACATCTTGGTCTATTTTTCGACTGATTTTGATATCTCGAACGGAATTCTGGTTGTCTTTTAACAATTTTAAGTTCAAAAAGTTGAATTCAAAAGAAACAAGAAAGTGAAACCCCCAAGTGGGGATTGAACTTGTGACCTCTTGAACACTAGTCGAGAGCCTACCCACTTACACCACTCGTGTAAAACGCTCTGAGCTTGTTTTGTTTTTCAAGCAACGCCGCGGCAGTAAGCGGATGAAGGAATTACGGTAAGAAAAAGAAGCGTGTTTTTCTCCAAGTTCTATAAGACAGCTAGAAAAAGAACAGAAAAACATATCTTTACTATTAAAAATCACCAAATTCTGTCTGTGTGTTCGTTTGTTCCCGGTTCCACGACCCTAGCGAAGTCCCCAGCAGACCGAAAATTTTCAAATTTTCACAGATGATCCGAAATAGCAGCAAGATGATGCCCTTCTATTTTATGTTTCAAAATTTTGAGTTTGACGCCTTCTGGAGACGTTCTTCTATTTCTACAGTGCAAATCTTTCAAAAATAATATTTACGTCATTCCCGCCCAACCCCCTCTTTTTTTCTTATCCACGTTATATCTGACAAAAAGGTGATTTTGTAGAAATAATTATTAAGTCTTAGTTTTGAAAGAAGAGAGAAAGAAACAGTTCAGTAAAATTTAAAATTCTGACTTTCTGAATCCTCTAACTTCTCAAAAACTGAATTTCGGAGATTCTGATTCACGAAATTTGATTATTTTTTTCGAAAATGCGAAATTTCTAACCATTCCTATGCTTCAAACATTTTGGTTTCACTCTGAACTTCTAAAATTCTAATTCAGAAACTTGGAAAATTGGAAAAACGGGAACTCGAAAATACCGAGATTTGAAACTTTGGAAATTTTGAAGTTTGAAAATCAGAGAATTGAAATGTCCAATGTTTCGGAAATTCAGAAGTATAAAAATTCAGATATTCGGAATATTACAAAATTAAAAAATTTGTTAGAACACTCGAAATTTTGAAAATCCAAAATCTCGAAAGCAAAAAACCAGAAACTCAGAAGTTCAGAATATCAGAAAGCCCAAGTTCGGAATTTAGAAAATTCGGAAATTCATACACTTTGTGAATCAAAAACTCAGAAATGTGTTTTAGAGAGAATTCTGAAAACCTGATTCGTGTTAAAATTTTTAATTTTGGGAATTTGTGAAGTAGAATCTCAGAAAGCCGGAAATACGGAAACTCGAAAATACAAAATTTCAGAAATTATGAGTTCTGAAATGAAGTATTTTAATAGAAAAATCTTTGAGTTCTAGAATCGCAGTTCCGAAAATTCAGGATTCCTGAATTTCGAAACTTCTGAAAAAATTATAAGTTGTCAAATTTCAAGATATTCGGGAATTCAGAAAAATTATTAGTTCTGAAAATTTGGAAATTTTGAACAGTTCGTGTATCAACGAAGACACATTTCTGATCTAAATTTTTGATTTATCTGTCCAGGCCCAAACTCTATCGGTTAAGGCTGTTGTAAGCGGGAGCCAGAAGGTCTAGCCCCGAAGGCGCATAAGCAGACTGTCACTCCAGTTTATGAAAGTTGACAACACAATCAACTAAAACTTCGTCTTCTGATTCTATCCGATTTGGAGATTCAAACGTTTTTAGTGAAGCCAGGAGATTGTAGCCGCCGACAGGCGGCGGAAATCGGCTGGTTTATTTATTAATCGTTCATCTGTTTTAACAAATCCAAACAAGATATTTTAACGAAACAAACAAAAAAGACTTCGGTTCTGAATAAAGCCAACCGGATATGGATAACTTAAAGACGTTGAAAAGAGAAGGAAAAATAGATTATCGAGCGAGTTGAAGGGTGTGGCCAACGAGAGATTTCACATCGACAGTTGGATGAACTCGTGAGCCATCGGCATTGTTCAATGTGATTTTTCCATTCCACAGATCCAAAGCAGATCGAACCTGTAACAATAGGTTAATGAAGACGTGGAAAGTGGCATGTAGGGCTTTCGATATTCAGGAAATGTGTAACTTGAGCTTATATGTCGAAAACCCGAGAACTATCTGTAGAAAACTCACATTATAAAGAAGATCAGCATATCCATTCAATTGCTCTTTTTCCGTTTTCAAATGCACACGAACTTTTTTGGTGCCATCTACAACGGTGATGCCTTCAAAGTTGTCTCCTTCAGCGAACAACCATAACTCAACTTCCGAATCCTTCACAGCACTCTTACTAACAGCAGTCGCTGCCTTGGCATCAGCTGATGGTGCTCCCAACTTGATAGGTGTTCCAGTAGCCGATTCGATGTCCTTAAGCTTTGCAGCAACAACGGTAGCCAATTGTGAGCCAGCTGGATGAACGACAAGATGGACGTGAGCAGTATCCGTGGAGACAAGTTTGGCTTGTTTGCGAAGTCGTTGCACTCGGTTGGTCACCTCTCTGCAGAGTCCTTCCTCAACCAGCGATTCGTCTTCGGTAGTATCAATCATCACAATGGTCTTCGCGTCAGAGTGCGTCTTGTATCCGTGACCTTGATCAGCTCCAGCTGCATAACTGACAGCGACCTCTTCAGAAGTGATCTCATGTCCGAGGACGGTGAGTTTTCCTTCCAAAAGGAACTCCTCTAGTTCTGCTTCTGTGACCTTGTTCTTCAAGTAGTCAGCAACCTTCTTCTGTTCTCCCTTCAGTCGGGCTCCGAGGATTTTGAAGTTTGGTTCGGCCTGAAAATAATGGAATCAGCAAATATCTTCTGTCAAAACCTTACCTTGAGAGTGATTCCATACTTGTGCTTATCCTGCGACACGGTCAACTGTCTGACGTTCAACTCCAGAAGAATGTATGGTTCTAAACTCTTCACGTCTTCCAGGAACTGGCTATCTCTGTTGATGACGATCATCTCCTTCAGTGGATACTTCACAGCGATTCCCTCGCGATCTCTGACGAGACGAACCAAATCAATGACGTTTCTCATCACTTCCACTCTTCGCTCAACAGATTCATCAATGAGACTTTTATCTGGCTTTGGAAGCATCAAAAAGTGTACAGATTCCTCCTTTGCCCCGATAACCTTCTTCAAGTTCTGCCAGATGTATTCACAGAAGAATGGGGAGAATGGAGCCATCAGACGAACAATGAGGATGAGAACGCGGCCGAGTGCGGCGAGAGCATGGTGTTGCTCATGGAGTCCGTTGTCTCCCTTGACTCTCTTTCTGTTCAATCTGATGTAGACGTTGGTGAGGGTGTCGAAGAATTTGGTAAGGGGTCCGACGACAGCGTACAATCTGTAGGCGTCCATTTCTTTGCGAACAAATCCGACAAGGCTGTTGGTGAATGATTCGATCCATCTGTCCATCACATTCTCGCTAGCAACGTGAGCATTCATGTCGAATACATTACCGGTTTCCTAAGAATTTGAAAATTGAATTTGAAAAAAAAACCAAAATGAAAAACTCACATGTTCATAAGCTTGTACATTCTGAACGAAGAATCTGTATGCGTTGAACCATGGAAGGAAGACGTCCTTGAGCAAATCTCTAACACCCTCTTCTCTGAACCGCAAGTTTTCTCCTCGCACTACTGGCGAGTTGATAAGATAGAGACGGAGAGCGTCGGCTCCGTACTTGTTCACAATCTCCATTGGATCTGGATAGTTCTTCTTTCTCTTTGACATCTTGGCTCCGTCAGAAGCGAGAACGAGACCGTTGCAGATGAGATTCTTGAATGGTGGTTTGTTGAAAAGAGCAGTTGAGAGCACAAGAAGAGTGTAGAACCATCCACGGGTTTGATCGATTCCCTCGGCGATGAAATCGGCTGGGAAGTTGTCCTCAAAGATCTTTCGATTCTCGAATGGATAATGATTCTGGGCATATGGCATGGATCCAGACTCGAACCAACAATCGAACACTTCGGATACTCTCTTCAGAACTCCCTTTCCGGAACGAGATGGGATGGTGATGTCATCAACACTTTCTCTGTGAAGATCGGTAATCTTTTGTCCGGAGAGCTCTTCCAATTCGGCAATGCTTCCAACACAAACCACCTCTTCTCCATCGTCAGACACCCACAAATTGATTGGAGTTCCCCAGAAGCGATTTCTGGAGACAGCCCAGTCACGAGCGTCTCTCAACCAATTGGCGAATCTCTTATCCTTGACAAACGAAGGAACCCAGTAGGTCTCATCGTTGTTAGCCAAAAGCCGTGGGACAAGACTCTCGACACGGATGAACCACGAAGGAACTGCCTTGTAGAGAAGAGGAGTATCGGACCGCCAGCAGAATGGGTAAGAGTGCTTGCATTCAGCTTGTCTCACGAGATTTCCCATTTCTTTGAGCTTCTTCATGATGAGTTTGTCAGCGTCCTTCACATAGATTCCTTCGTAATCCTTCACTTCAGAAGTGTACTTTCCGTTCTCGTCAACTGGACAGATCATTTTTTGATCCTTGGCAATGACTCCATTAGCCACACAAACTTGGAAATCGATCTCTCCAAAATATGGAGCTTGATGGACGACACCGGTACCGGAATCAGAAGTGACAAATGTGTCATTCAGCACTCTGAAGGCGTTTCTCTCTTCACGCATATTAGCGAAATATGGGAACAGTGGCTCGTATTTGAGATCTTTCAGTTGCTTTCCTTGAAGCTTCTCAACGACTTCTAGATTCTCATTCTTGAGTTCTCCAAGGCGCTCCTCGAGTACAACGTATTCAACTCCTGTAGTCTTATCCTTGGCAACAACATATTGCATTTCTGGGTGAACCACGAGTGCCAAATTGGATGGAAGAGTCCACGGAGTTGTCGTCCATGCGACGAGTTGGCGATTCGGGTTGTCCAACAATTTGAATCCAACAAAGACAGCTGGGTCAACGACGTCTTTGTAGTTCTGTCCAGCTTCAAAGTTCGATAGTGGCGTGGAACAAGCTGTGGAGAACGGCATAACTTTGACTCCTTTGTAAACAAGTCCTTTCTTGTGAAGCTCACTGAATGCCCACCACACAGACTCCATGAACCAAGGGTAGAGGGTTTTGTAATCGTGCTTGAAGTCGACCCAACGGCCAAGTCGTTCCATTGTTTTCTCCCATTCCTGAAAAATGCTTTAGTTTAGAAAAAAAAATGTTTATTACAGGTCAGCAAGATGTACAAAAACGTATTTTTCAGTAGATTTTTGGCGATTTTCAGAAGTCTGGAACTCGGCTTTCAAGTTTCTAATAAATTTGAAAATTTCGAAGAGTGTAGAACAGACCTAGATTGAAAACTTTGCATTCACAGAACATTTCGAAAATTAATTGATTTTGAGCTATTTGCCGATTTCTGAAAATTACCTGTTTTCTCACGGTTTCAGTACAAAAACCGGCCAAAAGGTGTATTTCAAGAATCAGCGAATAGCTGAAAGACTAGGAATTTTCAGGAAATTCAGCCAATGCAAAGTTTACAATCAATGTCTGATTCATGCCCTTCAAATTTTTCAAAGGGATCGGAAACTTGACAGCCGAGCTCCGAAGTCTTGAAAATGGACGAAACGGCCGGAAATCAATGGAAAATACGTTTTTCTCTATCTTATATGATACTGCATATTCTATAAATACTCACTCCTGAATATCTCATCACAATCTTTCTGCATTCATTGTTATAGTTGGCGATTCCCATTTTCAACACATCCTGTGGACCACTGATTCCCAAAGTTTTGTCGATCTCATATTCGACTGGCAGACCGTGAGTATCCCATCCGAATCGTCTCTCCACATAATGCCCATTCTGGTGAGCCCATCTACCAACTACATCCTTGATGGTGCTAGTAAGCATATGACCGTAATGGGGAAGACCAGTGGCGAATGGAGGACCATCGTAGAAAGTGAAATGTGGTCGGTCTTTGGAAAGTCTGAAAGAATACTACTTTTGTAAATTGAAGTGTTCAATTTACTAGCTAGCAGAAAAAAAACTCACTCGACAGATCTCTCGAAGGTGTTCTCATCCTTCCATTTCTGAGCGATTTTGTCTTCCTCCTTCGCAAAATTGATGTTATCCGGCACGGTTGAAAGACCGCTCATTTTACCCTGAAATTTTGAAAAATAGACTAGCGGACAGTATACATTGGTTAATAAAGGGCGAACAAGATGTAATCTGACGCAATACTACTAGACATGAAGCATTGCAAAATTCCCCTTTTTTTTTGAGGAAGAATTTGTCATATTTTGACCGAGTTTTCAAAAATTAAAGATACATTAATTTAGAGAAGTGCAAAAAAAGAAGTTCAAGAGAAACGTTATCAGCAGTGAAGAAGAGATAGTGAAGAGATAGAGTACACGACGTGATAAATGACTGTTAAAACTGTCTGGATTGTGTCTTTCAGTAGGTTTATACAAATTTCGAATAGGTTTTATCCGAAAATCATCTTTTGAAATACTGAGAAATATGCGAAGTAAGCCTACTATTAGACGTTATCGAGACTTTTGTTTATTTTTCGCGATTAAAAATAGAAAATTCGATTCCAATTCAGCTAATTAGCATGGAAAGTTAAAAGACAAAATAAGCTTGCGACCTGCAACAGGCGAACATATGATATTATCAAAATCACAGCCAAATTACAGTGTTATTTCGGCCAATTTAGCACTCTAATACTATTTAAATCTCTTAAAAAACAATTAATTTAAAATTTTTCCGTAAAAACTAGATGAAAAACACTGTTTTATAATGAAAAATGTATGGATAATCTGAAAATGGGATCCGAAATGCAAATATTTTTTAAAGGCGCACACACTTTCGCGGTTGGGTCTCGCCACGACATCCCGTCTTTTTAATTCTTGAAAAAAAGTTTTTATCGCTTTTCAGACGGTTTTGAGCATTTAAAACGTTTTTTATGTCAAGAACCGATGCTTTTTCGAGGTTTTTCACATCTGAGAACCTTAATTTCGCGAGAATCACGATTTTTGTTCATTTCTAGACCGTTTTTCGCGACTCCGCCCGTTTCTGTCGAATCCTGTTTTTCAAATTTTTGTTTTCAGATGCGTTTCCTTGGTGTCAGAACAGTCCAGCTAGCTTCCTTAGCTGGTTTCTCATGGGGAGGATCTAAACTTGACGAGGTTCAGGCCGCTGCTAAACCACGAACATGTCCGATTCAAATTCAACGTCCCGAACAAGTGAAGGATGATGTTTTGTTGAGTCGAAAAGTTATCAATCATTTGGACAAATCAAACTTGAAACTGCGATTATATCAATACGAAACATGCCCGTTTTGCTGCAAAGTTCGAGCGTTCCTCGACTACTACGGTTTCTCGTATGAACTCGTTGAAGTAAACCCAGTAACAAGATCTCAAATCAAATTCAGCACACAATATAAGAAAGTGAGTTTTACACAGAAGTAAAAGAGATTAAGTACCTTCATGCTTCAGGTCCCAATTATCCGAAGTGATGACACAACTCTAACAGAGTCTTCCCTGATCATCTCACAACTCGCGACTTTCCTTCAAAGACCCGATCAAAGCCTGGATCAAGTGATTCAAATGTATCCAGGAGTCGATTCAACGAACGAAAAAGGAAAGCCAGTTGTCAATTACCCCAACAAATTCTTCATTATGAAAGGAAAAATGGAAGGAGAAGCCAACATGGCAGCAGCTAGAGAAGAAAGAGAATGGAGAGAATGGGTGGACAATTGGTTCATCCATCTGATCTCTCCAAATGTGTACCGTAACTGGAACGAATCTCTTGAGACTTTCCGTTGGTTCGAACAAGTTGGTGATTGGCATCGTGCCTTCCCAGCATGGGAAAGAGTACTGGCAGTATATGTTGGAGCTGCTGCCATGTTCCTTTTATCGAAGACCTTGAAAAAGAAGTGAGTTTTGATTCAAAATATATTAGATTCAACTGAAAATGTTTTCCAGGCACAACATTGCGGATGAGCGAGAAGAATTGAGAAAAGCTTGTAGAGACTGGATGGCAGCTATCGGACCAAATAGAAAATTCTTGGGAGGAGATCAACCAAATCTAGCTGACTTGTCGCTTTACGGAGCTATGAACTCGTTTTACGGTTGTTCAGCGTTCAAGGAGGTGATTCTCGAGGAGAAAATCGCTGATTGGTGGCGACGAATGGATTCAGTTGTCAAGAATCATGAAGGAAGGAAAACTTTGGAAGCACGGAATCCACAGAAACAATAAATTTTAATTAGAGTGTCTCGATAATTGTTGATATATGAACTTTTGATTTTTTTAAAGCCCCTGAATAGATTAGTCAGTGCCTTATGTTGTTTCTGGTTATTTTTTGCTTACCATTCGCTATATTCTGAATCAATTCGATGTTTTACCTGTTAGGATCTCATTTTAGAGAAAATTTTTCTTTTTCAATTCATATTCTTCTCCATAATAAACCATGTATATCTTTTCTTTCTCTGTCTCTTCTCTTCACCTTGTCTCAGCTTTCCACCAGAAGAAGCGCCAAGCAGCGTTTGATGACGCAGAACTGGTGTCTACAGCTGGCGTCTTTCTTGGCGCCCATTGATTTTCTATTTTATTCTCAAACATTTTAAGATGTCACATGAATCACATCATTCGGAGGGCATGGCGACAAGCGGGGAAGTGGTAAAGAATTTTCAAAACATTTCGAAGCAAAAAATTAATTTTTCAGCATGAAATTCGAGAAGAAGAGCCTGAAATCGAAACTATGCATATTGAAAATAGCGTAGAGGGAGAATCAGGACGGCAAAGAACAGAGAGTACAGCTAGTGTGAATTCGGAATCCTGGCAAAATAGTGATGAAATGATGATGAATATGCGGCGAGCACAATCACTACTCGATCAAGGAGCCAGCTGTTTTCAAATTATTCAACAAGTTTTCCCGGAATTTGATGCTTCTCGGTTTGAAAATATGTCTGAGCGAGTGGTAGGACCTTGTTCCTATATTACTATTTTTCCATAACTTTTAAGCACTTCAAAGTTCTCAGCGATCTGCTCGAGCGTGCTCCAACGCGTCAGAAGCTCTTCACATATAATTCGCTGTCTGACGCTGTGGATTTGTTCAGAACTCGAAAGAATATCCTTGTACTAACTGGCGCCGGGGTTTCCGTTTCGTGCGGTATTCCCGATTTCAGAAGCAAAGACGGAATCTATGCGCGTCTTCGCAGCGAGTTTCCCAATTTGCCAGATCCAACTGCGATGTTCGATATTCGGTATTTTCGGGATAATCCGGCGCCGTTTTATAATTTTGCAAGGGTGAGTCAACATCTTTTTTTAGGCCTTAAATGAGCGGTAACGAGCTATTGATTTACACAGTGTTAAAAATATATAGATTCATATAAAAACAAAGAAAACAATTCATAAAAATTGGCAAAATCGCTTCTCGTCCATTTCTGGAAACTTCCGGAATGTTCTCTCATCTTTTTTTTGAATTCCCGCCGAAACTCGGAAAAGTAAGCGAATTTTTCTCCGATTTTTTGCAAAATTTTCAGACTTTTTCAGGTTTTCTAGCTATTTGCAAGGACTCGATTTTTTTTCGGTTTTTTTTGTCTGAAATTTGATGGAACGGTTTTCGTGAGGATTATTGTAGATTAATGTAGAACACCTATTTCTTTGTTTTCGCAAACTTTTTTTCTACGTAAAGTAGAAGTTTTTCTACATCTAATCTACAGTAACCTCGGCTAACAGCATCCTGTCAAATTTCAGACAAAAATTCAGAAAAATCAAATGAGAATTATCAAAAATAGCTTAAAAGCCTAATAAGGTCTAAAAATTGTGCTGAAAATTGAAGAAAAAAATCGTTTTTCTTTCAGAAAAGTCTATAAAAAATTTGCTGAAACTGTACTTAAAAAAATTTTTAAACTCTAAATTCAATTTGTTCCAGGAAATCTTCCCCGGCCAATTCACTCCATCCGTCTCCCATCGCTTCATCAAACAACTGGAATCGTCTGGCCGCTTGCTTCGTAACTACACCCAAAACATTGACACCCTGGAACACCAAACAGGAATCAAACGAGTCGTCGAGTGCCATGGATCATTCTCAAAGTGCACTTGCACATCGTGCGGGAATCAAACAGATGGAATGGAAATTCGTGAAGACGTGCTGGCAATGAAAGTGGCTCGGTGCAAAATATGTCATGGAGTTATCAAACCGAATATTGTTTTCTTCGGAGAAGATTTGGGAAGAGAATTTCACAGACATGTCACTGAAGATAAGGATAAAGTGGATCTGATTGTGGTGATTGGATCGTCGTTGAAGGTTCGACCAGTGGCTCTGATTCCTCATTGTGTGGACAAGAACGTCCCTCAGATTCTAATCAATCGGGAGAGCCTACCACATTATAATGCGGATATCGAATTGCTGGGAAACTGTGATGACATCGTCAGAGACATCTGTTACGCACTCGGGGGATCCTTTGCGGAGATGATTGCCAGCTACGATGCTTGTGTGGAACGATCACCAAGCACCTCTCGAGCGAAACGCCAATTGATCACACAGCAAGAATTTCTGAATATTTGCGCTCAAGAACGACGAGATAAGACCCCAGTTCCGGAGCCAGAATCTTCCGAACCTAGTACAAAACGACCCAGGATGTCGACGACAGAGGATATGGAGGGGAATCAATTCCAACAGATTCAGAAACACACGTCATCAGAAGATGACGATGAGGATAACACCAGGAATTCAGATGAAGTGTTAAGAGAGATCAAACATCCACGACTGATCAGTATTACGGATATGTTGAATGATAAAAAGTGTGTGGCGGTGAGTGCTAATTTTTAGAATTCTGAAATTCCGGAATTATTCAGATCTCCGCTTATCAAACCGTTTTCCCGGGTGCCGAGTGCTCATTCGACATGGAGACGTTGAAATTGGTCCATGACGTTCCGCATCGAAACAGGCATGAATCAGACAGCTCCTGTGAATCCTGTTCTACAGTACCGGGATCGGATAAATCTGAGGCGAACCCATTGTCGAGATCTCAATCCACGGATGATATTGTATATGCGGAGGTAAATATCGGTCCAAAATTCCATTTCGGCCGCCCGAACCAGCCGTCCGAATTCTTGAATTTGCGCGTCAATAGTCACAGTGTTTGCGTAAGCAGCATTGAAATTTACGACACAATATTCAATAAATGCGTTTTGCGTCGTAAAATAAAATTCTGTGTACGCAAACACTCCCTGACATGATGACGCGCAAATTCCAAAATTCGATCAGCCCGATCGGCTGGCGGTCGGCAGTCGCCGATTTTTGAAGCCTTACTTTCGGTTCAAGATGTTCAAAATCAGTTTTCTTGATTTTTCATAATTTTCAATATTAGATCCGCCGCAAAGAAGTGTTCCTGGACCTCCAACGGTGCGATTCGTGTGACAACGATTTGCAGTACGAGCTATCGGACCCAATCGACCCGGAGACGTTTGCCAAGCGTATTGCGGATATGTGTATTGAATAGAATTGCCTGCCCCAGAAGAATCTCATGTTTTATCAGTTTTTTACCACTAACCAAATCCCAATGAAAAACGCGTTCAACAAAATGATTTTATAGGTGATTTTTCTTTCCCGTTTTCTTTTTCTCCTTCATTGTTTCACAATATTTTTACCTCAAAATATACCACTCCCCCCGCTTGTTTTTCTTTTCCTTTTTGAAATTTGTCAAATAAATTGGACCTCTTTTTGAAAAATTTCTTATTTTGTGACACTTGCCAGAAAATTCCAAATCCTTAACCATTGCAAGCCTCCTCCTTCATTTTGCCGCCGAACACCGTTCATATGTACTCCTCGTTGTTCTCAGCGGCAACACAGGTCTTGGGCGATGATGCGCAAAAAGGACTCGATCCATATGCGATCCTCTAGAAGTCCGTTTGACACATATCGCGAACAATAAGCTGCGATGAGTCTCATATGTGTGCGATGCGGGAGAGGCTGAATCGAGTGTTCCGAATGCGCGCGTATCCTAGATGGATTCTAGGTGGGTGGGCGATGTGTGCGATATGGGTCTGATACGGTAGGCCGACTACAGCACTCCGAAATCCCGGATGCGCCCATTGTTTACCGTAAATCCACACCGGCAACTTTGTCAATTTTTCGTCAATTCGAGCCTACATTTCTGGTTTTTCGATTATTACTTCGATGTTTTTTGTGAAAAAGAGTTATGGCAGGCTAAAAAATCGCTGAATTCTTGCAGAAACATGTCTTTCACTCGTTAATTGCTATGTTTTTCGCCAAAATAGGTGATATTGAGATTTTTTTATTTAACTTTGTAATTATTGTAAAAATCGTATTTTCAGGTGGAATAAAAGGTAAGTTGGTAAGTCAATTACAAAGTGTAAATTATATAATTTGCAATTTTTTATGCAATTTCAAAAATAGTGAAAGTGAGACATATTTTTTGAACAAATGAAAAATAAACAATTTTTAGCGAATTTTTTCCCATTTTCTTATGTTTTTGATTGTATTTTTAAAATATGAATTTGCATATCAGATTTAAATGGAAATGGAAACTGCCATAAGACTTTTTCAAAACCAAAACATTGAGTTTCGAAAAATCAGTAATATGTCGTTCAAAATATAAAAGAATATGGAATAATAAATGAAAAGTACGAAATCGGAAGACCTGAACAAAATCACATCACAATAGAACTTAACTGATACTTCTAGGAACCCCGCGGTGTGCCCCATATGCCCCGTATATGCCTCATATCGGCGCCCTTTCCCTGTACCCAATTCATCGGCGCATCCTCCGTCGCCCATCCATTATGCGTATGGACCTGTGAAGGTGGCCGGGTGGTTATGGGCGTGTTTTGTAAGCAGAAGATCGTGGGTTCGACTCCACATGGTGAGGATGTGATTTTTGAAGTTTTTTTGGCGCTAAGGTAGTTGGGGGGGGGCCACTTTTTTTTTCGTTTTTTGAGGCTAATTTAGTGTCTCTGGGGTAGAAAAGAGCGGCGAAGAAGCCTAAGCCTATTTTTTAGACAAATTCCCATCTAAAATCACAAAAAAAAATCTGAAAAAAAAAATCTTCTAAAATTTTTTTTTTGAATTTGGCGCCAAAATGCGGGTGTCCCAGAGGAAGGGAAACAAGGGGTTTTTGCCTAAGCCTATTATTTAAAACAAAAAACAAAAAGTTTTGAAAAAAATTTCAGCCAAAAAAGTGTTGAAATCGGCGAAAATCAGTGAAATTTGCAAATTTTTGGCCAAAAATTTTTTTCAAAACTTTTTGTTTTTTGTTTTAAATAATAGGC